AAATTCTTTAAAAAACTGGTTCATGATTTTTCTTGGAATTGTCATAATCTATGAAGACTGTTACACATGACAGCACCCTTGAGAACAAATAAATTTATTAAGAATAATTATTGTATTGAATATTGTTTAATTATAGGTATGTATTATCATATAGTCAGACTATAAGGTGAACACCATGTTGAAATTAAAGATGTTATTGACCCACAAAGTTTCTAGTTCTTTGAAAAGTTCTTTGTTAGATGGAATTACAGCAGTAAATTGAGACGATGTTTTAAAATAATGAAATGCAATTGTGTGGGAAAAGTAGGAGATGTACAGCATTGATAATTTGTGCAACAATGTTAAAGTGGTCTCAGTAACAGTATGTATGGATCTATGCTTTGTTGGCATGATGACATGTCATGATGTATGTTCAGTAGCCAATTAGCTACAAGTTGACTTTTTGTCCTGTTAAGAAGTTAAAGTAATATATTCAGTAAATATTATTTGTTTTCTGACATAAATTATGCGAGTTTTTTTGCTCCAGCTAATGCACAGTATTTAGAAGAAAGATACAAGGATTTATCACTTGTTATTAAACTGAAGTTGAGAAAAGTTGAAGTATACTTACGAGACTGAAAATAAAGAATAACTTGTTAATGCTTTGTTCAGTAATGCATGGTCATTTATAATTGTTTTTAACTGCCTGTTTCATAGAATTTTTTTTTCTCCAATAAGTTTTGTTTTCATTGCTGAGGTGTTAGTCAAAGTATTGTATGGTAGTGCAAATTCAATCTGGCATGGCTGGATATTAACACTTATGCTAAATGGCTTCTAGAACACTCAGAATATTTACAGCATGTGATGCAAAGTATGCTTTAAATAAATTGATATTGGTGATGTTAGCTAATCAACTCTTAAAAGTCACTTGAAATTCATAAACCACGAGAGAAAAAGGGATATAATTCGCAAAAGTATTTCAACACAAAAGTTGTGAGGCCGACACCACCACTTGCTATTGGTACAGCTGCTACTGCACACATCTCCAAGGTGGATACTGCAAACATCCCTATTAAGGTACGTAAAACCTTGAACCATGAATGAGAATAATGCATGCTATGTGTTCAGGTATACTTAACTTATTTTTTGTACTGAAGAAGAAAGAAAATGTTTGATTCAAAAGAAGTAAATCTCAATAATAATGAGATAAATGTAGTGTACAAGGGAATGCTTCATATGCTTGTATTTTGTGGTAATTTTACTTTTTGAATTTAAGTAACTGTAATTAACCATCTCTATAAATGTGGTATGGTTTTTCGCACACTGTAGAGTAACAACTGTAATCCTTCCATCTGTGAACAAGCCATATGCCCAACTTTGAATGTTTTAGTGGCACCTGTGCCCTCAATGAATTAGGCTCTGTGTCATTAATTTGGTGCAGTAGTGTTCCCCCATGGGAGATACCTTAAGTAGGGGTGATTTGAAATATTTAAACTCCTCCCCCCTATCTTGCTGTCTTGGATTGGTAATACTAATAGCATAGAACCAATTCACATATTAAATGTAACTTACCAAGAGTATTGGTGCCCGGAAGTAATTTGAAGTTGCATATATTGGCTCATCTGCATTTCAATTATTGATAATAAATAATATATTTTTGCAGAGATGAGACCTAAAAATATGTTGATATTTTTCTATGAAACAGACTCAACTCCCTGCTAAGCTCTGAAGCTTTCAGTGTGGATTAGGAACAACGAGCCATGGAAGAAAGACATTACCTGTCACTGTTTTTTAAGAGTGCAGAGAGTAATGCCCATTTGACTCAAGTAATATTTCTTGACAGTACAATTATTCACACGTATTCCCATGGTGAAAGGTAATCTGTTTATTTGGTTATTCATAGTCTTGCACCATACTCTCATCACTACCTTTTAGGAGGAATACACAAAAATTTCATCCTTCTTTCTGATGAGTCTTTAAATGAAAAACTGCAGATGAAACAAATGGATATATATGTATGATTCCTGGATAGTTAAACAAGTAAGATTGCCACCTGTTACATTAATTAGCACTCTTGGCATGGTACTGCATCACATTGGCTATTACTTTTCAGCTTGCTAATCTGATAAAACAGTTTGATGGTGGAGAACCTGGTGCAGATCTTGGTAGATGGATCTTATGTGAATCTAAAATTCTACAAAGAATTTATATCTGGCATTTTAGCTCAAATAATGGAAAAGGAATTTGTTGACACTCAGTCCTGTGGTTTACATTGACTACATAACACTCTATAAGTTGTCTTTAATGCCACCAGTTGAGATTTAGTAAGCATTTTACAAATTATGTACTGAATATTTAAATATACACCAGCTCAATAGGATGATTTTGTTCTCATAACAGGAACATCTACATTCTCTTTGAAGTATTGTGTCCATCATTGGGTAGAAAATATTACCATGGAAAAAGCTTTGGACATGCTACCTCACATGATTACATTTGTGAAGAAGAATTATATCACCCCAAAATGCTAAACATTTGAGATCCTTATTGGGGTATGTTGTGATGTGCTCCTTCCTACCAAGCTGTATATTTTCATTTCTGTGGCAAACCCTGTGACAGGGTATTTGAAGAAGTACCAAACAGATGAACATTTGATTTCATTCACAATGCACACCTGGGAAAAGATGATAACATATATCATGAATAGAATCTGAATGTCTGAAATTGTGAAAGGATTCAATAATTTTCGCATGCTTGCAAAATATTATATAAAAGATGACAACTTGCTTAATTACACAAAATTCAATATAGGCTTTTTGGCCAACAAAGTTCTCAAGGAATTGTTAGAAAGAAGACCATGTTAGAATTCTGCATAGAGACAAGGAAGTGCCTGGCTCACCTGTTGAAGGAGTTACTCGACTTCCATTAGAGTGAGTTTGGTGTGAAATGCTACTGCATAGAGACAAGGAAGTGCCTGTCTCACCTGTTGAAGGAGTTACTCGACTTCCGTTAGAGTGAGTTAGGTGTGAAATGCTATTTGAAAGGCACCAGATAAAAAAAAGAGCATATGACCAAGACATAATGGAGCTAAATCAGAGAAAGAAGTGGCCTTGCCAAAACAAAAAGCATCTTCAGAAGAAAAGTGACAAGATCGCTGATAAAGCCAATAAATCATACAAGTTAGAATAGATCCTCAAATTTAACAGTTTTAGGAGGTTTCTAAAAGGAAAGAAAATTGAACTGAAAGAAGTGATGAGAGAAATACAAAAACAAATTAATAGAGTGCTCATTTTTTAAAGAAATATAATATTAATTTTTATGTTGAAATGTCAAACGTGCTTTAACTTTACAGTTTAAAATCATTTAGTTAACTTTTTGTTGTTTGCTTTATTTGTTACTAGCAGAGTTCCTGACATTGCTCAGATGAAAATGGTTTTAACTGATTTAGTTCTTTATTTATATGATAATTTATTGATCTGCTGTAAAGTTATTTGTACACACTATTTTTGTCTTGCTGTCAAGAACAAAGAAGAAGAGATTATGAATAGAGAAGCAAATGAAGGCTCCATGAACTTTTAAAATCATTTTAACACATAATTGATCATGGATAGAATGATTAGAAGTCTTCACACAGAGAAGAAATGTAAATAATAGTCCTCTTGATCACACATTAGCAAAAATATCCAGTCTTTTCGATTTGAGACCATTGATCATCATGTTTGCCCAAAATGGCTATATGGGTCACTTTGGCTTCAAAATGGCCTCTGAGGCTGCGGCCACATAGCCCATGTTATTTCCTGCACAAAGTTGTATTTGTACCCCAAGTTTGTAGTTTTAAACATGTGACATTTACTTAAAATATCAAATTGTAGCCTCAAAACAGCTTCTGAGGCCACAGCCATATAGCCCATGCTACTTCTGCACAATATTGTATTTGTACCCCAAGTGTGTAGTTTATAGCTTTAAACATGTGACATTTACTTAAAATATGAAATTGTAGCCTCAAAACAGCTTCTGAGGCCACAGCCATATAGCCCATGCTACTTCCTGCACAATATTGTATCTGTACCACAACTTTGAAGTTTGTAGCTTTAAAGATGTGGCTGTGCATAACGAAGAGACCCATAGAAAGAGAAATTTGTGCTTATATATGTAGATAAACTAAAATTAGTTTGCATTATGTAATTTTTATTTATTGAACAAATACTCTAAAGATGTAGCCAATATTTTTTTTTAAGTAGAAAGGAGAAATTTAAAAAAAAAATTTTTACTATCATTGTACCTTATATGTTATTAGTTGAATGTTTTGTAATGTTTTTAGTTATTTAATTTTGGTGAAGTTCACAATCAATAAATAAGTCCTTGAAAATGGCAGTTTGGTGCTGGAAAAACCATATTTTTTTTCATTAGCCTATGCAAACCATGTGAAAAGTAAATAAGATATTTCAGACTAGTGAAGCTGAGTTTGAGATTGACAGTGACTACAAAATGAACAGGAAAATGTGGAAACATGGATTGCATAATAAATTACTCATTATTGATGATGCACATATAGTCTTACTGATGGAAATTCTCATCTAATTCAACTTATTCAGTATCAATTTAAAAAAAAAACTGCACAAAACATATTTCTGATATCAGAGAGAAAAAAATTGATCTGAAAAATACATTTTTGAAAATAAAGCTTCATTTTATATCGCCTGTTTTTGGTTTCTTTAATTGTCTTAATCTGGTCTTTAATACTATTTCTTGTTACAAAACATCATACAGGCCATAAGGAAAGCCTGTTAATAAACAAGTCACTTTTCAAAATTAATTTGTTTCAAATCAATAAAATATTAGAGCTAAACATATGATTTACAGTAATTCCATGAATATCATATTGTTTCTTGTTGGTATGGTGTTAGAAGTAATGTTGTTTAAACAGAGCCTTAGATCATTTTGACACTTATTTTACTTTTTAAATTTTAAAGTTCTTAATCCACCATAAATAAATTATTAACACCATTCTGTAAATTTAGGGTACCAGGAGACATTGATGAAGTAAATTGCATGAAAGTACGAATGGACCAGTGGGAAATAGTTGAGTGCAATGATCCACATGTTCCTGCTTCACTTCTGAAACTCTGGTACAGAGAACTGTATGAGCCTCTTATACCTGACAGGTTCTATGATGAGTGTGTAGAACACTGTAATGAGCCAGAGATGGCAATAAGTATTGTAGAGAGATTACCAGAAATTAATCGACTGGTGTTATTCTACTTGATAAGGTTCCTCCAGGTAAATTATTTTGTGCCTGTGTCAATGTGGTGCAATATATAGTAATTATAAACTAGTATTTAGAAATTTTTATTAAAGCATTTTTTTCATATTTGTGTTATTAACTTACTAAATTCAGAACAGAGGTTATTAAATTATTGACTAAAAAATTACTGATGGATAAGATTACAAAATAAACTTAGTATTCACATCTTAGAAGTGTTTATTAAGCTTTCTTAAGTTGGTTTTAATGTATGTTTTTCAACAGTATTTGTGTTTACAAAGGTTTAAGTCTTTAAATAATAATTTACATTTTTCAGATTTTCAGATTTAGATTTCAGATATGGAAAAAATGTACAACAATATAGTTGTTTTAAAAGTAACTGTATTTCTGTAAGAGTGTGGAATGTGATAGCTATGTGTTAGCTATGTGTGACCAATGTGTTAGCTATGTGTGAGCATTGTGATAGCTATGTGTGATGAAGAAAAGTCAAAATATTTTGATCAACTTATCACTGTAGAATTATTGTCATGACACTTTAATTTTTGTCTATAGTTTTTATCAAATGATTATTGAAAGTTTAATTTTAAATAACATATTGTTGCTTCTGGTGATGATTCATGTAGATGTATGTAACTTATGTAGCAACTATTATAGATTGAGAGTTATTTTTCTTTAGTAAATGGCTGTATTATCTAGCATGGATACTAGGTCTATTTATTTTGTGTAATGAGTATAGAGATTTGTAATATAATAGCATATAGAACTTTTGTGTGCCAACTACTATGTTTGGTTAAAATCTACATAATTCTAAAAAAATACACATTTAAAATACTTCAAAAAAGATTTAAAATGCTTTATAAGTTATGTTTTCCCATGTGTTTCATTATGCTTAGTAGACTGTAAATGGGGAAGGAATGAGACTTTTTCAAACAACATGCAAAAATGATCCAAATCTGCTAGTTTTCAATCGTGTTTTGGTAACCAAGACAGCAGTTGCAAATGCTTCCAGCATTAATTTGAATAGTGTGTCTGTAAAAAATATACAGAATATTCAGTACTGAGGACAAAGGTATTTTTTGATATGGTACATTTCCTCTTCTCATATAAATAATTATTCTCATTCACTGCTGCCCTCTCTATGTAAAAACATTTTTACACATGCCACAAGCCTTCTATCTCTCTTCCATTGGAATTGACTGATTCCAATGCATCTGTCATGCATGAACCCTCCACCAATAAGACATACTCTCATGATGCATATGACTCCCTTTATTCAATTCTACAGAACTATCACTTCTTATTTGGCAGTACTTGTGTTCAAACGTTTTTTTTTCTTTTGGTGCTCTTTGTGTGCATCATGAGTTTAATAGTTTAATTTCCAAAGTGGAATTTCTTCATTATTATTTTTTTCTTTACATTGAAGAAATCTTTTAATTTAACTTAATTTCCTAGTCTTTATTTTTTTCTTACACTCACATATTTTCCATCAAAGAATTTTGTTTGACTTATGTATTTCTACAATGAATTCTGAGGTTCATGTTCCCTCTTCGGGTGTTATACCTCTAGCACTATTTTCACAGGCTGCAGGTGGAGGAGACCAGTCGTTGGATTTCTCTGCTGTTATCCATCGTGAAATTGTTCGTTATATGGGTCAACCTTCTCCTTAACTTGTCCTACTATTTCTTTCCCCACCTCCTTTATCCCTCGTACCCTTTTCCTTTTCCATGACTTGTGATCGTGCCACCAGCCTGCATCTGTCCAAGGCAGTACAAGTTCTTCTGTCTCTACAGGCCATTGCACCTGTTCATCATCTTTCTCCAGGCTTTTATACCAGGCTGTTTGTTGTTCTCACGCCAAACCAGAGACTATCGGCCTATACTAGGTTTGTCCTGCCTCATTCTAATTTTCAATCTGCCCCATTTTACCTTGGAGTCGTTTCCCACCCTTAGGTGGGCTTTTTCTCCAGGTTTATCAATGACAAAGAGGAATATTGCTACTGATTATTTGCATATCCCAATATTTCATCACTCATGACCCTCTCTTTGGTTTATTCTAAACGGGGTGTTTGTTTTCTCTGTTTCACGCACTGTCCTTCAGACTTGCTCCAGACCTGTATGTTTTGTTGGGCATTCAGAACATTCATTCGTCACTTATATGCTCTCAGGTTGTGCTTTCCTCTTTCTTTTGTCGACTGGCTACTCTTCTCTCATTCTGAACAAGAGTCTACCTGTTATCCTTATCAGCTGCTTTTGGAGGTTGCTATAATGGCCTGTTAATCAAGTTGGAGAAGTCCTTACTGTGGCCTATCCAATATCTTGTCCATTTAGGTGTTTTTCTTTTTCTACACACATATCAGTCAGGCCACCCATCTCCTCTTCAACTTTGTTTGATGGGTTTTTCGTTCAATTACAGCTCGCGATGTTCCATCACTTTTGGGGATGTGGTCTTCCATAGTAGCCTTTATCCCCTTAGGTCAGGCTCATATGTGGGTTCTTTCATGGGCTTTTCATGACCAGTGGAATTTTGCTGGGATCCTTTGTCAGTTCTTATTACCCTCGGCAGGTGTCCTGCTTTCTGCTCGTCATCCAGTTTTCCACATTTCCTGGGATGGGGGCATGGGTTGACCAACTGGAAGATTCGGGGTTTTTGCAGTTGAGAGGTCTTATCCTATCTACATTCTCGAGCTTCTCACTGTAGGTCGTGTTTTCATTCACCATCTGGTCAGAAATCCATCTGACTTTTCTTCAGTGGTTGCTTATCTCAATCACCAGGGCAGCACCTGTTCTCCATCTCTCCATATTCATATGTTAGATCTTCTTTTTGAGCCCACACACTCAATATTTCTATCATTCCATGTTCCGGGGGCTTTTATTCTTGTCATAGATCGTATTCCTTTCCAGACAACATTTATGTAATGGAGTGGTCTCTTGATCATTTTATTTTTCCAGTGACTTTGACTTCAATGGGGTATTCCTCACATTGATGCTTTTGCTATATCCCTTAACCACAGATTGCCTTGATTTTGGTCTCCAGTTCTTTGTCTTCTTGCTCTGGCTATCGATGTTTTCAGCCAGGATTGGACCTACACATTTGTCTATCCTCCTGTTCTTCATCTTCTCCAGGTGATTTCATTCATCCTTAATACTCTGTTCAGTCTTTCTGATAGCTCTTACCTGTCCATCTCAGCTGTGGTTTCTGCATCTTTTCCAGCTCCAACTTCCTCCTTTGTTACCTTTTCCTCTGTCTCCATTCCTTCTTTGCCACCCTCAGTCACCAGTGTTTCATCCAGACCATCCTGTTCTCTGTCTTCATGCTTGGTTCTCCTCTGGTCATTGGCAAGATGATCTGGGCTCTCTCGATTTTTAGCCTCTTTTCTGTTTTGTTTCATTTGCCATTCCTACATGGAAATTTCTTATTACAAATGAAATTTTTCCATCATTGGTTTCTGGGTCCAGGGTCTTCCCCTGATTAACCCACTGTTCTCTTGACTTTTGGGTTAAGGGGGTCTTCTGTCTCCTTGGTCCTGTCCCACACCTTTCATTTTTCCCAATCCTGCAGGAAATTACCTCTTCCACACTTTACTCGTGGATGTTTTCCTTCCAGATTTGTCTTCCGTCATGGCAGGCTTCCCTTCTGGATGGGAATATTAATGTGGTTTAGCACTGCCTCGCTTTGTCTATATTTTCCTTCTTTCTCCTAATTGCCTGTGGACATTAATGGTCTGTTTATTTGCCATCGATGCTTCACATACTTTTTATCCTTCTGCATATCTTCTCCTTTCTCTGGATCATTTTTCCTCCCTAACACTCCAGCAGCTTGTGAGGATAACTCCTCCATTTAGCCACTTTCCCTTACTTCTGTTTCACACCTTTATCCTCGTCTTGATCCAGATAGACTTCTATGTCCTGTACATGCTCTTCTCTGTTATATTGCCTGCACAGCTTCCTTCTGTGGTGTCCATTCTCACCTTTTACTCCCTTGGCAACTGTCCTCTGTTTGTGTTCTTTCTCCTTCCTCCTTTGCCAATTGGGTTTGGTACTTAATTCAATTGGCTTCTTCATCTTCATCCTCTCATAATTTGTGCCAAGTGTCTTCTCACTCAATTGGACAATTTACCTTTTCATTGCCATTTCATCTTCATTGTCCTTTTGAGGTACTTCTTCAATTGGGCTTGTGGACTACCCCTCATACCTTTGTCTCTCACCACTTGCATCGGATTGCAGTTTTATTCCTCTTCAGGTTATCCTCTTCAGCCTGTAGCCATTCTAGAATATCAGGATTCAGTGAGACTTTGACTGGATAAGTTTTTTTTCCTTTTCAAGGGCTCTTTTCCCTTTTATTAATGCTCATTGTTTGGATTCCACTCTGTGGTAAGTGGTGCCTGACCAGGTATACTTTAACTGTTCAAATCCACACTGTGGAACCATGTGGACTTGCATATTATAAATCCATGGCCATGCAACTCACACTGCATAGATGAGTGTTCCACAAGATCACTTGTAGATTTATCCTCGCGAAAGTTTGTCCATCCCAGACCGTACCCACCCATGGACTAAAGCCAGAAGGGGATAGCTGCCCATTCCTGCCATGCCTTGTATTGAATAAATCGGTATGGTTTGCTTTTAAAAAAAGGGTTTTGTGGTCACCCATTGCACTGTCTCAGGTGTTGTCATTCCTCTGGACTCTCCACCATGTTTTACCCCGTTTTCATCTAGTGGAGTTTGAGAGTCCTTACCACTTTGAAGTTCCAAGCCGCTGGGTTGGTGGACCGTGGAAGCATCCTCCTGAAAATGTTAATCAAATACAAACAAAAAATATAGATTATTATAAAACCAATTAAGCTGAGAGTAGGGTGGTGTGTTCTGCTGGTGTAGATGACATGATATCCTCCAATGTGAAACATAAAAACAAATGGGAGTGGGACGTCAAAATTGCAGTTCACCCCTTCAATTTGGATCCCTCATCCTACCCCCACATGAATGTCAGTTCCCAGTAGCCAGGGTTTTGGATTTAGAGTGGAACCAATCAACATAAGTCCTCATACGTGTATTACAGATGTCTATATTCCTCCCTCATTTATACTCCATCAGTGTTGTGAGTCATGGTGGAGATAATTGCAGATTGTTACATTCCGAGGATGTTAGTGCACTTGGGGTGGTTTTGGTCAATTTCACTTTTAAGGGTGATGGTTTACATTATGTAGACATCTTTTTAATACTGAATGTTGGGTTCCTAGATTGATCTGTCAACTTATCCTATTCACAGGGGTCAGGAGTAACAGATTCCCTCTGGTCTCATGAACTTGAGGTGAAGATGGTATGATCCTCTTTCCTACTCCCATGTGGATGTCAGTTTCCGGTGGCTTGAGTTTTGAATTGTGGTAGACTTGCCAGTGGTATTATCCTCTTTCACACCCCCACATGGATGTTGGTACCTGACAGTCAGGTTTTGGATTGTAGTTGACTTACCGACAGTATGATCCTCATCCTACCCTCGCATGGACTTCAGTTCCCAGTGGCATGGGTTTTGATGGTAGTTGACTTGCTGTGTACAGTCGGTTGCACCCTAGCCACTCTACATCTAGGGGCACATCCTTTTCATTTTACCTCCTTTTATAATTTCTGGGATTGAGTTTCATAAATATTGCATGGTTCAGATCACTTTCCAGCCATAGTACTCTCCCAATTGGATGAGCTTCTCTGTTTTCCTCCCATATATGCAACATCTTTGTACGAAGGGTGAAGAGTATATCTGATCCAGAAGTGGTGCAGTTCCCTACATCAGATCTTAGAATCTTACTGTCTCTTCACAGGGAGTGTCCTTCGGATGCTTCTTTCTTTCCCTTGCACCAGTCTATTCAATGTGGGTTTCTAGCTATTTATGTAAGTGAAGATAATGTACCGTATCAGAAGTTCTAATTTTCCTACACTGAAAATGTATTTCTGATAGGTACTTACCTCCTCTCACACTTCCCACCCTTCCTCCCCACTGAAAACCGGTGCTTCCATCTTCTGCCAAAACTCGAAGTGATAGTTTGGTAGAATTGAATAAAGGTAGTCACGTGCATTATGAGGGTATGTTGTACTCATATTGGTGGAGGGTTGACACATGGTGATTTGCATGAGAGACGCATTGTAATCATTCAATTCCAATGGAAGGGAGATAGAAGGCTTATGGTATGCATAAAAACATTTTTGCATATAGAGGACAGCACTGAACGAGAATAGCTATTTATGTGAGAAAAGGTAAGTTCCTATCAGAAATATATTTTCAGTGTAGGAAAATTATAACTTTACTGATACAATGTTACCAACATTTCTCCAAAGTGTGTATGAAAACTCTATTACATGGATATGGATATTTCTTTGTAGTTGGGATTTTCAAATCTATGTTTCTGGCTTTTATAGTATATTTGTGGAGCGTGAACAATGATAAATGAGAGAAGTATAAAAGTAGTCTTAATTCTTGTAATTTGATAAACATCTGTAAATGATCATCATATCACAGTCAGTCCATTTATAAGTTTCATTATTTACTATTCTAGTAAGTTTGTAAGTTTTAAAGCTATAAGGATTACTGTGAAAAAAAGAAAACTGTACTATGCTGTTAATATCGTTTTACTACTCGTAATGAAAAGGTAATGTTTTTCTGTATTCTTTATTGCGTAATTCTAAAAGCAGATGTTTTCACAACAGAACAATTTGAGTAACATATTATTAAATTCAATAATACAAACTACATGTGTTGTCATTGCTGTAGTGTAAATTGTCTTTCTTTGAGCTTACTAGAATCTAACTTTCAAGATTTTAAAAATTCAGAGATGTTCAAGTATATTAATTGATTCATATGTTTCAGGTGTTTGCTGCTGAAGAAAATGCTTCAGTGACTAAAATGGATACCAACAATCTTTCCATGGTTATGGCACCTAATTGTTTAAGGTTTATTTCTGATGACCCAAGGGTCATTTTTGAAAATACAAGAAAAGAGATGGCCTTTGTGAGGACATTAATCCAGAATCTCAATACCAGCTGCATGGAAGGGGTGTTCTGATGCTTAAAAAAATATCATTAATAAAAGAAGTTTAGCAAATGACTGAAAACTGTACAGAAACACATAAGATAAGCAATTTTTATTATCAAAAATGAAAAACGATACTTTTGATCAGACAATAATGTTATATTGTACTAAGTTTCCTAATACTCTGAATTAAAAGTGTGAAATACCAGCTAATAAAAGAATAACACAGTAGTTTATGCACAGATGTGTGGTTCAACATTTATGTACTTGTCTTATGATGCATTTATTTATAAAACTGTTTACGTAACTAGTCGGATTCTCTAAAGTTAACTAAGTTCATTTATGTTATTTTTTTCATCATGAGATTTGTACATTTGAATCCATTTAAATGTGGTAAAATGTATTTCTTATAGTTACTGATCGAGTTAGTAACCACTTGGCATATTTTTAATTATTTATTTATTATTAAGAACGACAGTAAACTTGCAATAATATGTCATGTAGCAAATGAAGTTTGTATATATATAATGTAATTTTTATTTTATCTGAACCTCTGGTTTAATCATCTTAATTGATTTCATATAGTATGTGTTATCAAGATATGTTTTCTAAATGAAGGAGAATATTTGGTAAATTCAACTTTGTCCAAGCATAGATTGTTATTTATGATTACCATGAAGATCACATGTTGATATGAAGGTGTAAAACATTGGTAAAGTGGGAAGGCTATTTAGACCATGATGAATGTGATGAAATATCATGCCTTACTGCAGGGTGGTTGTCTTTTTACACAGTTGTCTTAGCTTATTAAGAATACTTTGGCACTCCAAAGAGGAACCAAGTTTAATTAAGTGCTATTTCTTTTCAGCTACTACATCATGAAAATAGACAGAGTGACTTTAGTAAACAAAACAGCATACTAAAAGAAATTAAGGACCATTTCATCAGCATGAAAATAAAAATAATTGCTTTGTTCAGTGAATATGTTACTTTAAATTGCAGTAAGGCTCTAAATTCATATGCCTTGCACATATGCCATATTTTCATATATTCTAGTTAGTGCCAGTTCTTTAGTTTCATCTAAGACTTATCAAATGGTTTACTTAAACGTCAGCTATATAAAAATACCAATATTTACTTATTGAAAGATTTTTAGTATCATACAACTGGTCTACATTGTAAACTTTATAACATTTATTCATTTTAAGTAAACCTTTATTAATTAACTAATTGAAACCTAGGTCTCTCTTAGTATCTACTACTGTCAGGTAATCCATATTAAACCGTACCTTATTTTCCATAATTACTTCGATTCACTCCTGAGATTGCTCAAGTTAGACATTAATCACGAATTTTCTAACTTCAAAATTATTACTCATTATTATGTTGTATTTTATATAATTATTAATCATCACAATTTGTTTTAAACATGAAAAAGCAATGCCCCATTAATAACCTCATTCTCTATAGCAACTGAGTCAATGTTTTATAATATGAATTGAAACATGAACATTTGATAGTTTACTTTATGTTGTCATCAGCTTTATTACTTTATATCTGATTTGTTTGAGCTTTTAACTTGTGTAATCTAGCTCCAAATAACTTCAGCCATATTCTAGACATTGTTATTTTTTTTTGTAATGGTGTTTTCAGCTATGGTCTATTTTTATCATAATATTATACAACAAGTATAATGTAACAAAATTGTTATGTTTCACAGGGTTTCAGAAGTTGGCAGAATTATGTTAAAAAAGATAAATAAACTTGGTATTGCTTCTTTATTGTTTACTTGCTGTAAGAAACAATTTTCTGAATATCCACATAAATCTACAAAATCTTATTAAAAGTAACCCTTGTGAAAAAAAACATTATTCAGTGTGTGATGTATATTGTTTCGCCATTTTATGAGTAAAAAATTGTATGTAAAAAAACCTATCTTCTTCTTTTATAATATTGAGTTCTGAAATTAGTTTGCCTGTAATCTTTGACTTTGTGAGCAATTTTGTTTTTAAGATAAGTAAGGAAATGAGACCTAAAATGAAGCTAGATGAAATGCTGACTTTTATACTAAATTACATCGAGATTAAATTAAACTTTATGAACATCAAATTGGGTTAAAACTGTTACATATAGTTTTAGTCCATACATGCATATGTAAAATAGAAAACAAACTACAGTGAATGTTTTTTATTCCCAACAATTATTTTATGTCTGTCAAGTTTGAAGCTTATTTTACAAATGTGCATGCATGTTTTTAATTTAAGTAAAAATTATTGTAAAGTTCAAGATAACCTAATACTTAAATGAATCTTTATTAGCGAAACTTATCACATATTTTTTTATGTCTGTGGTAACTGACATGCTTTGAATGTATTGACAAAAATAATTTGCAGGACATTAATTAAATAATTTAAACTAAATCTTGTTAGTTATTAAACTTGTTTTCTCTTTGAAACCAATGGATATTTACACTGAAAATAACAAGAGTATTGCTGTTCAACCATATATGTGTGCAAATCAAGCAATACAGTAAGTTTTTATATTCAGTATCAAAACTTTTAAGCTGTAATTAAATTTTAGTTTATAGAAAATGAAAGACAAAATGCTCTAGTTTTCAAGTGTTTCACCACTGCTTGAACATTATTAATAGACATAAGCCTATTCATCTGTAAATAATAATATTTATGAAATTAAAAGATTTTTACTGTGTGAAAGAAGTATGAGACAAATGTACAGAAACGTTTTTATGAGATATAATAAGTAGCTATGAAAATCTTTTAATGAAAGTTAGAATAATACTAGAACCATAGGAATAATTACAACTCAGATGTCTTGTTTTGATTATAAAGATGGGCCAAGAAGGCCTAGTGGTTAACATGCTGGAGTGTATCCATAGTTGGTGCCTCATTACCATAAAAAATATTGTATTATAAAAGTGATAGTAAAATGCCACTGTTTGATTAGAGTAGCCCACTAATTGGTGCTGGGGGTGTTGACTAGCTGCCCTCCCTCTAGTCTATCACTTCAAAATATGGGTAGCTAGCATAGATAGCGTTGAAGTAGCTTTGCACAAAATTCAGCAAACAACTATTATTATGACAGGAGAGAGATATCTTGTAGGAAGTGTGTGCCAATTTCTTTAAAGCTCTAATTAAGAAAAAAAAAAGTTTAATCCAGATAAGAGTAGGATGTTGTAGTCATTAAGAATTGGTAGAATGGTTTTTAAAAAGAAGTGGATGACATATTAATTCACAGCTTTTATAGATACGTTATTAAACATAAGGTTAAGGGTTATTAAACAGAGTTGGGAGATATTAAAGGGTTGGTAACCAAAGGATATATCAACTGTTTTTTGTTGTTATAATTAAGACTGTTTTATGAAAAAATTGCCAACTTTTCGTAGTTTGCTCTAATTATGGGGAGGGGAAGTATTTTTGTATGGTTTTATTTACATAAGGAGATTATGGAAATATTTTACCGCTGGTAACTTCAGGCAACTTGGACTTCACAAAGTAATGCTTCGTTTAAATATTTTGCTAACTTTGTGTTTGGTGGTTTGTTGGAAATGTGTGAATGTTTTACTGCCTGCAATTTGTAAAGTCAAGTAATATTATCACTTCATATTTATACCAATGTGTTTCTGTTTTTATGTAAATACTGGTACATTTATAAAGTTACATGATATTCAATAATAAAAAATAGTTCAACAAATATAGTTTAATTTTTCTACAGAAGTAGTTTATGATGTACTTGTAACCCTCAGATGATGCTTTAAAATAGATATCTTTCTCTACTTTTATCATAAAGAAATATGCATTTATTGTAGACCACTTTATTATATGTAGGTGTATAATTTTTTTTGTATAATTAATACTATTTGCTTGAGTTTGAAAATACATTGATCAAACATAATTAATCCTCAATCTGTGAGTACTGAGTTGTTTGCCTTTTTTGAATTTAGTTTACTTTCCTGCTGGGCAATTAATATTGTTTGGTTCTAGCATGGTAATACAACCTGTTGTGAGAGACTTTTAACAAGTTTTAACTGTTTGTTTTGCCAGTCTGTATTACTTTCCCCTGTTGGATGGTTAATATTATTTGGTTCTAGCATGTTAATACAGCCTGTTATTAGAGTTTGTATTGGGCTTTTTCATTGTATAGTTTGTTATTTATTTTCTAACGCATACTTCTGTTTTTCTTATATACATATGCAGTTACTTATGGTGCAAGCCACTTGCTATCTACAGTAATTTGAAGAAAAAACAACAAAAACTCAAGTTTTACATAGGTGCCACATTTATGCTTTTATATTTAAAATAAGGATTACCTGATTTGACTGAAATTTGTTTTTGTAATTGTTAAAATAATTTTTGGGTGAATGATATTGCTAGGTTTTATTTTCTTTGCATATACTAATATAAATTATTGCTAAAAATTCAAGTCTCACTAATTTTATAGTCACTGTATTAAATGTCAAATTCTACATTTGTAGAAAATCAGCTTCTGGTCTGAATCAATTTTCAGTAATGTGTATATGTCTGATATGTATTTGTATGTGAGCTCATTCACATAGAAAGTCTATTAGAGAACAATGATTTCATTATTTATATCTAAACTAAGTTTTAACCTGTTAAAATGTATGTCAGTAATGTTTTCATACAGTCTTGATATTTATAATTTTTGAAATTCACACCGGTCTATCAGTTTATGCAGGTAGAACCTCATATTAAATATAGCTGAATATTGATATGTCAAACTGCAAGGGACATTGGGAATTTATTGGAGATATTAAAGTTTTGATCTGTAGTAAATATAGAATATCAGATAAAAGAAATGAATTGAACTGAATTCCAACTTCCACTTTAGCCATGTGTTCAAGATATTCATACCTGACGTATTTGATTGTACCTTCAAGAAACTGATTTGATTCCTCAGTAAAGCAAGTACATTTGATCCACAAGTAAAATTAACAGTACAGGTGTGAAGAATTAAATATATTTAGATTTCTCTAGGTGTGAATTTTATTGAAACATAAATTTGCTTTAGATTCTGTGGTAATTATTCATATGTTATTTTTCTTATAAAGGGAGACTAAAAACTGTTAACTTGCTGTTATTTCAAATAAAACACCTTCAGAAAATTGTTACAGTAATTTAGTGTTCTGTAAGTTGTTAGTAAAAATATTAAATAGCAATAATAGTTGATAAAATAAGTAAATACATTAGATGTTATAAGTTGAAAGATGTATTAATAATTTTAGAATACAGTGAAAAATACACTGGGCTATTTTAGTATCATTTAGAGGTACCATCGTTATGATTTACTAGAACATATAATTTCTTTTCTATAGTTAGAAGTTTTTTTTATTTTTGTTTTGTTAAATATTGTATAGAATAATTAGAGGATGCCTTAAAATGTGTAGTGAGTTATATGATTTATTCTATTTATACCTTTTTTTATATTAACTTTCTTGGTCAAGTGTATTGTGTATGTTTTTATTTCAAGGAATACATGCAGAAGCTATTCTAATAAAAGAAAATTAATTATATAAAGTGTAATGCTTAGGTATTGTTATTGTATATTGGCTTTCCTTCCTGCCCAATTATAATTCTCATTAGAATTTGTATTCTAACTGAATTTACTCCACAAAGAAAGTAATATATTCAAGCATTTTTAAGTAACTTAAAATATTTAATGTAAAATTGCCCTTTTTAAAATTGCTTCAAACAGATATGTTTTTGAATATCTCATTTTCTCCAGTTTCCACTTCTTGTAGACAACTTCACCGATTGAACACCATTACAGCACGAACAGTGAAACAAATCTGATCAAACAAAATTTACAGAACAATTGTTAATCATATGCTCCATGAGAACTCTCAGAATGCATTGTTACTAAAATCATTAGACCAATCTCATTAATAAAGGAAACCACTATTCCCGATATCTCTATCTCAGCTTTTAAGTCTTTAACTAACATTCAGAAAATCATTAACATCTAACATAACAAAGTATCAACCAAGTTAACTAAGTCGAAGTGCAGTTCTAGATATGACCTATCCTGTTCGTCTAGAATTCGTATAATTACGTATAGAAACGTGTACTAAATGTTTTAAACATTGTATGAATAAAGATATATTCATGTACTAAGTTATAGGATGCTTTGATTTATAGTGCTTTTAATTTTTTTTCTTCCCTTCTGTATTTAATTTGAAATGGAATACTAAATCAAAATTCAAATTGCGATCAAAATTGAAGCAGAATCATAATCTCATATATGACGCATGGAATAATATGTGCTATATAAATCGGGAAATAATCATCTAACTAAACAATGTGCTCAGGTAAATAAACAACACTAACAAGAAATAAGGAGAAATGTTCTGTAGTGGGTATATTACTTACCAGCTTTTCCTGCTGTGGCATCTCCCCTGTGTTGAAGTTGCCAGCATTGAGCTTTCTTGTGCCCAGGTTTGTACAGTGCCAGCAAAGTCCCTCAAACCTCTCTGAAAGCTGACCTTTTCTGGCCTTGAATCCAGATGACTGTACCAACCTTGGTACCTCTGTGCTGGACTTAACGTAGGATTCAAATTCGAGAGCTCTGGCCATTGCATCCTGCATGGTAGAGGGGTGTGCTTACTTCACTTGTATCTTAAGTTGTGGACTGTCCAAGGCATCTACGAACTGATCTCTCAGCAACAACTTGAGGAGATCGGGTGGTGCAGTTGGGTAGGCCTTGTGTGCCATGCTTTCCAAGTATAATATAGGAACTGATTCATACATATGTAACATTCATTCCATGTATACGAACACCCAGTGGTCATGACAAACCCACCACATCAAATAAACATGAAAGAAAACAGATAAAATATAGCAAAATGGTTTACATTTTTGCTTGTGTTATACACACCATGCTAATTTCACATGCTGTCTTAGAGGGCTTCTACCTTAAAGCAGTTTTGGAAGACTAATACAAATCTACCAAACCATCATGCACAACTTCACATTGCATAAAATTATACTGAAGTACACCTCAGATTGCCAATTTCCTCAAAAAGTTTCTGACTGCACATATGTGCCAAATTTTCCCATGAAACTTTACCTTTGTGCTTGGAAAACAAAGATTGCAAACTCCTTACACCATATTGCTCTTTGTCAAAGTTCCAAGTCATCCCCAACATTAGAGCTCAACTATTGGTTTCTCTATAATTTTCATCTGTATATCTGATGAGTTTTGTGAAATCTACTCCAGAGAAATTCTGCTACACAGTTTGATACATGAAGCAATTATCACAGTACATCCGATCAATGTTTTGCTACTAAACATTGCTTGATAACTCAGAAAGTATGGTCACAACATTCTTTCAGCTATTGATCTTTCACTTAATCAACTTTAGTAACTGACTGATTATCACATAATGTCTTGACAACATCTTGAGATAAACCATCACTCAATAGATCAAGAAGCAAGAAATGCTGCTTTCTTTCAGTCACTGATTTTTTAATGAACCTACCATTCTAACTATTAGTTATGCAACCACTGTAACTCACAATTCACATGAATGAGTTTCCCACAGACAAAGCTAGAGACCAGTCAAGCCAGAAATGAGTTGCTCACATGCTGTGTAATGTTTTGTAACATCTTTTATGATTATTGTGATATATGGCCATTTTATCTGAAACTAACATGCAATTTCATATGCATTAACTTTTGCAAAACAAAGCCATCCTGCACATTCCTGTGATTATTGTAGAATAGCTACAGTAGGCTGATGATTATTCATCAGATCCGTTGGGAGTTGTATTCTGACCAAAACATAAGAAGATTCAGAAAATAACCAATCAGCTATTGTTTATTTATGCAATATGCCACCATGACATTTGGTAGATGTTCCTACCAATCACTTCAGTCTGTTTAACAAGTTTTGCAAACACCTGTTTCACAGTTTGTTTTACTCATTCAGCCAAACCATCAGACTGAGAATAATATAGTGAAATGCATGTTTTCATCACACAACTGGCTGTTGAAGATAATTCCTTGATCCATTAGGACCTCTCCAGATGCTCTAAAGTGACATATTCATTGATCTGCCAACAATTCTTTGATGGACTGCAATAACATGTCAACTAATGGATAAGCATCAACCCACTTGGTTAATTAACTAATAATGACTAGCACATACTGATTTTCTTTCTTTGTATCAACCAACACAACCTTCATCCTCAAGAGCAGAACCTACAACTCTGGCAGAGTTTTCCCTGATGTAATTAGTTTTCATTCTGGGAAGCACACTTTGTAAAGTTTCTGCACAAACACTCAATGTCTTTACTTGAATATGGCCCCCAAACCATTTGTGCATGTTTGCAACAGTGAATGACACTCACTAGCACCTTCTAACCATTAAATTATAGAAAGTCTGAAATATTTCCTGACACAGATCTTTGGAAAGTATTAGCTGCATCACAGATCGGCCAGCACATTTCAACTTGGAATCATAACTGACTAAAACATAACCTGAAACTACATACATCAGTGCTAAATTTGCTAATTTGGGATAGTCACATTATCTTACTGCATGGCAAGTAGTGTCCAATCTTTGTATGGGTCCCTTTTTCTCAAGGTTCATTACTGGTCATTCTTGCAGTTTATCCAAACATAGAATTGTTGCTGCTCATATAGTTTCTCATTATTGTGTACATTGTCTGGGATCTGAATATTCATTGAATAGACATGATCTCAGTGACTGGCTAGGTAGTTCATTGACTGTTCTATGCTGCTTATGTGGGCAGTGTTGTACAATGAAATTGCACCCTTGTAGTGTCGTTATTTAACATACAATCAGAATCCAGATCTTTGAAGTCCATTAGCCATTTCAATGCCATATGGTCCACTTGAATAGTGAAACTCCTACAATACATGTAATGTTTAACAGATACTACAGCTACATGGAGTTCTTTCTTTGTTGTATAGTGTCAACATTAAAGCACAGCCATAGCAAGACTTACGTATGTGATTGTATGCTCCATAACATCCTGTACCCTTAACAAAACCATTTCAATTCCTCTATCATTGGCATTTATATCCGAGATAAATGGGCAGTATTTATGAGGATAATCCAACACTGGTATTTCAACTACTCCAGGCTTCAAGGACTGGATTGCATTTTCCTTTGTCCATGCAAAGCATGTATCATCCTTAACCAATCTTGGAGAAATTGGCCACAAATAATCAATAATACGATGTGACACCTAAAAACTGTTGATGTCTTGATTGGTCTCAGTTTGGAATGCTGTGATGTTCATTGGATTGATGGACGTTCCATTCTTACCTATTATATGACAAAAATACTCCATTTACGTGTGCTTGAATATACACTATCCTGGTTCCAATTTCATTGTGATTCCTGATGCACTGAAATGCCATTCTCAAGTTCTCAGCAATGACTTTAAACAAGCAACTAAAGACTAATATTGCCTTAATATAGAAAAAGGCATCTTTCTCACTGCAGTCCTCTAAATATAAGTTTCAACAACTTCTCAAAAGTAGCACGTAAATTACAAAGACCAAATAACATGATACAGAATTTCCATAGTCTTTCTCAAATGCTTGAACCAGTCTTATATCTTCTTTCATCATCCAGTTCAACTTGCTAATAACCATAAACCACTGGACACCTCTTAATACATTCAGACATCCATTTGTATGTGGTTGGAGGGAAAACGTGGGCATGCATTACAATATCACCTGTCTAAAGTCCACACAGAACCTTGGAATTCCTTACTTTCTTCTAAGAATACTCACCAGAGATTACCAAGGACTCTGAAGATTATATTATTCCATCCTTCAACATTACTCAATTTCATAGCTGGCAACATTATTGGTGTCTATTTAATTGTTGTACTATTCAATGAGTCATCTGATCCTATTAACACACCAGAAAACTCTCTGAGTAATTTATTGAACCACAGTCTTCAACAAAAGAATTCAGATGCTCTGAAATTTGCACATTCATTGTTGGATGTGGTGCAATGGCTATAACATTATCTACTTGGCTTGTTTGCATCACTACTGTCTTTTCTAGTTACCATGCCAATGACTATTCCAATTGGAAACTGAATAGCTAAATGCTTGTTTACAGAATAACACTGGTACAACACCTATACTCGGATAGAACGCTGTTCAAGCTAGTGCAGCTTGCTTTCCAGAAAAAAAAAACAAGTATTTCCTGAATCTGTTCTATCATTGCAGCAGACAGCAACAACACACTAGTCTACATCTATAGTACATTATGGAACACCTATTATACATTAGATGGTATCAATACTTGTTTTTAAAAATACATGTATTATATTCATTGTTCTTAGGCATGACCTGGATGATATTGGATAGTTTTTGCCACAGAACTGCACTTCACCTGTTGCACAAGCAAAACTGGCCCACAATGTATGCAGTAGATCCATCTATAAGATCAGAGACAACTAGGTTGTTTCAGTGCACAAACATATCTCATGTTCATGTATTGTATTGCCACATATTAGGTGACGCCTAGTCTATTGTTGTCCACAGAGAGAATGTCCTTATATGTATTATTCTTAAATCATCCACATAAGTGTCCACATTTTGAGGTCATAGACTTCTAGCTTTTGATTTAGCTCTATGGATTACTCTTTGTTCACAGGGTCGAATCTGTAGCTCAGTGTTTTGGCAACTATCTCCTAATTGTTCCTCATTCAAGTGCTCTAAGGCATCAAGAATGAAATGGTCTTGACTCAGCATCAGTCAGTGCACTGTCTGTTCTTAAGTCTATCTATTCCAAGTAAACATGGATCAAGTCTTTCTTAACCATTTCTTCAACACTATCCAATTTACCTGTTTCACTTTACTATCATAGCTAAATATTGTTGCAGATAGGTACTAGCTATCATGTTTTCTACTGCTGTGCAGCTGAGAAGCTGTGTGCATTTGGAAAGACTTTTGTCTTCTTTTAGATGTCTAGAGTCACATTCATCCTTACAAATGCAGAATCCTCAGACAGTCTTGCACAAAATAATGCAGTGCATTAGCATATGTGTTGTCACATGCCATGTTGAACTTCAGCTTGGGGTTATTTTCTTGGAAATTGTAAGTGTTCCTTGTTCATTGGCTAATCTCAGGATCTTATGAATCATGGTGAAACTCTAACTGTTTTGCATTATGACATCATGTAATTTTTCCAATCGTCTTGGTCAAAGATGATTCACACTAGTGCCTTGCATCATGTGGGATTGTTAACAAGCTCCTCGATGACCATAGGAACCACCCCAGTAAATCTTAGGACACTTAGACAGCTCAACACCATCATACCCTTTCTCTGCTGCATTATGATTATGCATATAAGAAGTAACTATTAGAGTTTGCTTAACAGCAGCCTAGGTTTCCCTTAGTTGCTAATACCTCTTTTTCATCATGAGAACAGAGCAAGAACATGGACATAGCTCTCGCCATCGTTGTCAAAAGCTCTTGGTCTAAAAGAGTATCACTCCTATTCCTTCTTGAATACTTTAATCGAATTATCACTTCAATTGCAGCTTCCCCTGTTCTTCATAAAAATCTACATTATCTTATAAAGTACCTATGCATATCAGTCATTATCTTTTAATTTTACAGTACTATAGATTCAACTGAAAAAATAACATTCAAAATAAACTCAGCAATAAACAAATCATTTGGTCACAGCACCAAAATGTAAATTAATAACTCAGATACATTCATATATATCAGGCGTTTATCAGGAAGAAAGTTATAATAACCTCAGACAGTAATGGAAAACAAGTAAAAGTAAAACAATTCTTTATTCTTGATGGTGTTCATCTGATATCAAACTGGCCAGCTTCTTATTCACATACGGCTAATAGAGCTGGAAAGAGATAGTTTCAACTACTTCAGTACATGACAAAGACAAAGCAAATAATAATTTGATAATGCATTGTAAGATCAGACAGGGTTCCTTCAATTCTTAGATTACCTACATCAATGATTTTCCAAATACATATACAAGGGAGAAAACCTTAACTCAAACTGCTTATAAAATATATCTGTCATCTCTAGAGATGGGCTTACCCCATCTTATGGAGTAAACACAGACACAAGGTTAAGATGGAACAAACTTCCATTGAATAACCATTGCAATGTGTAATCTTTACCCAAGCAAAATGATCAGTGCATGTTTACATTTGTATCTGGTTTACAAGGGAAGTCCCTCAATAAGTTTATCAGCGAGGACATCCTCACAATATGTAATACCATTGCAGGTTAAGCCATCCCATTCAAACAGTACAGGCTATCTGCATATGTGGCCATGTTATCTGAAGGACCCCTCTTTCAAGCTTTGACTTCAGCTCAATGAACAGCTCAGTTCTTCACTGGGTCAAAACAGAAAACTCAGTTACAACTGTATTCCAATTCCATAATTGAACCTCACTCATGTGTTTTATAGCATCGATGGATGGAATGTCCAAGCTCAGAATCAGGCATTGCATCATCTATTCCTGAGTCCAGCCATTTCAAACAGGTTGCTATTTTGCTGCGCCCTTAAATGTTGGATCGTTTTTGTTTAGCTTCTAGTATGACTACCCATGAGTATTAGCATGAACCTCTCATCAATGAACATTCGCCTAACACCAGGCTGAGACATCCTAAACGTTATGGAAAGGAAGGGTGAAATTAAAGTATGCAGACATACCATGTATTTTTAACTTTTATTTTAATATAGGAATTGTTAAAAGTTTTTATTTATTATATGTACTTGTAGTTTTCACATAGCATATAGTGAACAAATCGATAAATTATTTTCATTTTATTTGTCTTTGTTCTCACTCATCTCTTAAATATAACACCTGGTCTGCCCATGTAGGTGTGGCTATACAATTGTACCTTGTGCATGATAGATCAGCTAGTGTCTCGAGATTATAACTTCCCTTATGTTTAAGTGGTAATAACCACTCACGTTGCTAGTGCCTCTGGGTAAGTCCGACGTTAACTATTCAACTAAGTGACGTGAGTTTTTGTCATTAAGGAACATCAACTTCAGCGAACTTGTCAGCTTGGAAATAAGTCTTGAAGAAGTATAACCAGCTGGTCAATCCACTTCTCAAATAAAGGTGACTGTCTATTGACCAAAAGTCACACTACACACATTGTTGCTTTGTGTTGTAACAATAAGGATTGTGTATTACACATCATCTCCAGTCTATACTTTGTGCAGTTCAAAGAAATTCAGAATGATTTTGTAATACATTTGGCCGAAACTCCCGTTATATAGAGGTCCGACCTCATTTACCTTTATTTTAAGAAACTGTTTTTAACTGAAAATTCCGCAAAACTAACAGTTATTTGTTTATTCCATACACAGTCACAACAACGATCGTCCATTTTAAACATATAAATGTTTAAGTTACCTTTTACTTCTTTACTGGAAAACAGACATGCGAAAACAATATAACACACAATTTAATCTTTATGTTACCCAATACTAATTCACCATTAAACTGTGTGTTTAAAAGCATATTTAAAGCGTATCGCAGTGGCTATCTCTAGTAAATGTTGCTACTGTTGCGTCAGCGAGTCACATGACTACAGTGACGCAACGTTTCTATAATTATCATGTACTTTGGCGAATGCTCTAGTATTTAC